ACACACACACACACACACACACACACACACACACACACACACACACGTTTTTAAAGGAATATGTAACATAGATTAGGCTTTTGTTTTTATCTGTTTACTTTGTAAATTTAATCCTGTCCTATAGACTATAATATGCCCTTCACCTGAAAGATTGTGAGCACACTCAATGTCATTGTATCTTTTTCTGTCACTTGTTTTTTTTAATGATTACAGAGTATTCCATCATTTTGATGTAACAAATCAACCATTTATCTATTTTGAAGACTTAGATTAAATCTCTCCACTGTATTCACCCTCTTTCCTCAACTTGGCTTCTAAATTCACTGAACTGCTAGGCATAGACATCTGAGCCATAAGAATAATACAATTCAATATGCCAATCAGATTGCTGTCTTGGGTAAACAATTTCTAAGAGCAAACTGTGCTAAATATGGTTTCTGTGTTCCCTAACAAGCTCTCTGATTTACAGGCTTTAATTTTCCTTGTGGTTGGAATCATCTTCATGATTGGAAGCATGGCACTCATTATAATTGACTGGATTTACAACCCTCCAAATTCCAAGCATCACTAACCCAAAGAAAAATACCTTTTCTATTGGAAATGGTTGCAAATTATGCTGCAAAAGACATTTGAGTTCTATTGATTGGAATGTTATTCATAGGAAATAACGGGAAGATTCCAAAGATGTTTATAGTAACATCACCAGGCACCTGTGGAAGAAAAAAAAGCATCATTTTTGTCAAGAATGGCTGTTTATAGGTTTAAAACCTGCGGTGCACATTTCTACCCAGGTTTTCCTAAAACAGTGTGAGAGGATGCATTTTTGCTGTTGCACAAGCAGAATAAGGGTAGCTGCATGGAATGGTCATCAGATAATACCTTTTCCCCTCCCCCTCAAATTACCAAATACTTGTATTCTCAGAACATCCAACAAAAATGCCCTGGTGGCAAAGCTATCACCGCTTAATGCCTTCCCCCAATCCAGCACCAAATACTCTAGGTCTATTTAATAACAGAGGCAAAAGCCATGTCTTAGGAACTGTCCCTTTAAGGTACATGAATGATCAGACAGCCAGCTAGAACATCTTATTGTCAACAGTGAAGGAATATTTGCCCATTTGTTTGTGACACTGAATTAATGAATTCTTCATTCAATAGATTTTTGGTAAATGTTAAAGACATCTTATTAAACACAGGCATATCTCGTTTCTTGTGCTTTGTTGTGCTTAGCACTGAGGTTTTTTGCGGGTTTTTTTCCCTGTTGGTTTTTTGTTTGTTTGTTTCTTTGTTTGTTTGTTTGTTTTTTTACAAATTGGTTCATGACAACCTTGCGTGGAGCATCATTTTTCCAACAGCATTTGCTCACTTTGTGCCTCTGTCACATTTTGGTAATTCTCATAGTATTTCAAACTTTTTCATTATTATATTTGTTATGGTGATCTATGATCAGTGATTAAGACTTGCTGAAAGCTCAGATACGGTTAGCACTTTTTAGCAATTTTTTAATTAAGGTATGTACATTTTTTTAGACAATACTGTTGCACACTTAGTACACTATAGCATAAGCATAACTTTTATATACACTGGGAAGCCAAAAAATCTATCTGACTTGCTTTATTGTAATACTCGCTTTACTGTGATTGTCCGGAACCAAACCTGCAATATCTCCGAGGTATGCCTACATGTCTTATCAACTGTCCCTGAAAGGTACATACATGAAAGATCAGACACCAGTACACCTTACTGTCAACAGTAAAGGAATGTTTCGCCTCTTCTGTTTGGGACACTGGAGTGCCTTCTTCGTTCAATTTTTTTTATGTATAAATATTAAAACATCTTCTAAACAGAGAGAGGGGCTTTAAATTATAGAGCAACAACAAAAATAATGCTTATTGCTCAACTGCCTGTTCTGGAAGCATTTGTTCTTCAATATTATTCCTAGTCCTCTTGTCACGCTTTTTTGTCACTGAACAATGCTCTCCCTCTCGTCTTCCATTGTCATTCACAATTTTTAGATAGACCACGATTCATGTGGAGCTACATTACCCAGTATTGTTTGATACATTTTTATTTGATAAACATTCAGTGCAGGAAACTGTGATTGCTATATGTGTATGTATATAATCTTATTCTGTAGTCATCAGAATTTTGATGTATGGTACATTTGATTTTTATTTTTTACATGTGTAGTTTTCTCTCTTCACAGTCAAAACGTTTATGTTATTGAGGGTAGGGCAGGGAATTATGTTGATAAACTCAAAAATCCATTTGTATGTATCTGCCTGTTGGGGATATTTTAAATTTGAAACCTAAGTTATATATAGTTCAGTAATGCTCTTCAATGTTTACAAAAACAACAATCATCTACAAGAAAATAAGTTCCTTGTTTGCAAATAATTGTCAGTACCAAAGTCGTTCTTCTAACTAAGCATGTCTAAAATAGGATTTAGTTCATTTTAGCTTGCACAGGAGTCTGACATTCATTTGCCATTTAATGCAATGTTGAATGGTTCTCCATAAAAGTGCTAACACTACAGAGATGCAAACTGGTATTCTTGCTCCCTTCAACAACATGCTCACATAAAATGGATTTAAAAACTAGCACTTGCTGCCCAGAATTTCTAGACTTTGCCACTTCCTCCCCCCCTAAATCGGTAGGAAGAACATTTATTGTAGATTTTTATGTTTTAGTCAAGCCAAGTATGAAATACAAGTATCAGCTAAGTATAATATTAAATCATATTTCAATAGGGTTTTTTGTATTGTGCCTTAAGAAAACGTACATTTGTTTTATATATTATTTTCTAGAGGCATAATACTGTCAAATGGTGCACTTTGTTATGGAAACTGAGCATTACTAGACACTATCATAACTTTGGAGTCACTATTATCGGAAAATACTTGCCAAATAGCATCTTCAAGATAGGTTTCTATTAACGGTCACCTAGAGAGTGTGTCAAAATAAGAAAATGGAAAAAGTTACCTTCTGAGTGTTAAAGGTTTAATCTGAATGTATTTAAATATAAAGATGAAGACTGATTCAAAAATTGGGGAAGTATCCAATCTGTATTAGTCTGAATACTTTACCTTTGAAATTACGAACTTGAAAATATCAACGTCTGTAATTATACAGATATTCAAGAGCAATACTACAGTGCCAAATAATAAAGCACCATTTTTTTCTCATGGCAATTTTCAGGATTGGAGCTCACATAGACTGCAGGGCAGGCTTACATATGGTATCTTGTACTGGTTAATTTAACCCCATTTATAAACAGATGAAAGTTTTATTTTCTTATTTCATTTATAAGATGGTTCAATGTACTGGGAGGCTTTTTTTTTATTACAGAAAGTGTATATTGGTATATAATAAATGAACTTTTCAAATGACTGATTTGATTTTCTTTCTACTGTTGAAGGCTATAAATTATTTGTACATGAGAAAAATTTTTAAGTCTAAATATTGTCTTCTACTGGTATATGTTCCATTTCCATCGTTAGTCTTGACATAACTAAAATTTGTAGCTGTCAAAACATAGTTGCCATCTTATTTTGGTAAAATACACAGCTAATCCTGAAGTTTGTTTTAGGTTTTTATTTAAGTAATCTCTACACTCCTCACAAGGCTTGAACTCACAATCCTGAGATCAAGAGTCACACGCTCTTCCCACTGGAGAAGCCAGGCATCCCCTAAATCATTTTTATTTATGTCATCACATACATATCTCCTAGAATGAGTCTCTATATAGTTAATCAGGAGGAATTCATTTGTGATGGAAGAAGAATAAAAGAAATATGAAGATTAGTAAAATAGAGACATGGAAGGTTTGGAGAAGGGAAAGAAACACGGGAGTGCAGCAGATTGGGTAGAAATGGACAATTGCTGGGATATCAGGTCAAACGCTAAGTTGAGTGCTGGACTTTCTAAGAAACTTCCAAATAGTTCTCCAAGGTGTTTCCACCATTTTCATTTTCATCAAGAATATATACAAGCCCCAGTTGCTCTACAGCCTTGCCCACATTTGGCATTGTATTTTGTAGCCTTTCAAGTGGGTGTGGAATTGTATTTTTTTTTTTAAGTTTATTTATTTTTGAGAGAGAGGATCCCAAGCAGTTCCATGCTGGTAGCACGGAGCCTGACACAGGACTTGAACTCACAAACCATGAGATCAGGACCTGAGCTGAAATCAAGAGTCATACCCTTAACTGACTGAGCCACCCAGGTGCCCCATGAAATGGTATCTCATTTCCATTTCCTTGCTGACTAGTGTTGGAAATTTTTCATGTGTTCACTGGCCACTCATGTTTCCTTTTGTGAAGTGCCTGCTCAAATCTTTTGTCCATTTTAAGAGTTAAGTTGTTTGTCTTTTTATTGTGGATTTGTCAGTTCTTTATATATTCTGGACACATGTCCTTTGTCAGATGGCAATGCATTTTCTCAGTCTAGGACAAGCCTACTCATTTACCTAAAGGTATCTTAATTATATCTTTCTGGGGCCATGTCTGTATAGCTTACTAGAATAATTCCTGTCTTACTAGAGTAAAGTTAGTTAGGATGGTATTGTTATAATTAACATTTAGATTTTCAAATTTGGAGAGGAAGTCTTCTTCTCTTTTTCAGGCAGAGCATAATCTGTTTTCTTGCCTTCTAGTGAGCTTTATTGAATGTATACTAATGTAGTTTTTTTTTTTATAGATAATTGACTAATTGCTAAGTCACTTTGACTCTAGGTTAGGAGACCCAGTACTACTGAGATAGACCCAGGACATCAAAAACCCTTCCTGGCTACTTGTAATCAAGTTCATTAGCTTTCTCTTGTTACAGGCATATACAGATGAAACAGGAGAAATTACTTCATGTGCAGGAGCAGTCTGCAGGGCGTCTGCTTCTATGGCATGTGATGGTCTTTTCCCAAGAAAATATTGGGTACTAATTATCCAATAGACCATATTGAAGAAACTGATTGAAAAAAGAAAATTAGCTCAGACCCTTCCTTCATATCATACACCAAAAGTGGAAAAAGTCAGTAAGTAAGGCAAAAACCTAAGCAGCGACATTTTAGGAAGAATGACCTGACAGCTGCCCAGGGAAGTAAGACACAGTGGAGGAAATTACAAGGGCAATGATGGATCATGGGACTATACAGTAGTGCATTAAAGAGCAATTTAGAAAACACCAGTTACTGGGGTGCCTGGGTGGCTCAGTCAGTTAAGTGACCAACTTCAGCTCAGGTCATGATCTTACGGTTGGTGAGTTTCAGCCCCGTATCAAGCTCGCTGCTGTCAGCACGGAGCCCTCTTTGGATGCTCTGTCTCCCTCTCTCTGTCCTTCCCTACTTGTGCGCTCTCTTTCAAAAATAAATCAACATTAAAAAAAAAAAAATACCAGCCAGTATCAAATACAAACCAATATACCCTTAATGTATGAAGACATAAAAAAAACAAGGATGGGCACCCAGGTGGCTTAGTTAGCTAAGTGGCCCGACTCTTGGTTTCAGCTCAGGTCATGATCTCGTGGTTCATGAGTTCGAGCCTAGCATTGGTCTCCCCACTGACAGAGCAGAGCCTGTT